CCCCCCCCCCCCCCCCCCCCAGTATATGATAAATGAAGTCAGATTTTGATTATCCAAAAGTGTATTTCAGGTTGTGCATTAACTATGAAACTCATACAAAGACATCAAACCCAGCTCAGTTTGAGCCAGAAAAGTTCCAGAACAGCCTATCTGAGTTTGTGCAGTACCATACATCACTAACTTGGGTTGGTGCTAAATGAATTACTTTTCTTGAATATACTCTCAAAGTACAATCTGATTCTTTATATCAGCTGTATTTTTATACTGTCTGGGTATTATTAGCTCTGTAATAACCTCAAGAAATTAAGATACACCATTATTTAAATCTCCCTACTCATACTGAAACAGCACAGTCTTTGCTGCTCCGGGAAAAGTCTCCATCACAGCCAGAAATCAGAACCTGGAGCTACATAAGCCTCTCCTTTTAGTCTTTACTAAAGGCGATTAATTAATCTTGTGAATTGAAGGAGGAGAAAGACACTACCTGACCACTTTTTTTTTTTTTTTTTTTACAGTGATTAGTAAGTAGTTCAAAAAGGCACAATACATTGAAGGCTTAAGTCAACTCTAATATAATTTCAGTGACTCAGCTGCATTACACTGATAGTTAAATGGTGAATAATGAACATTTCTTCAAAGTCTGCACACACTGGAGGAAAACACTAGTACAGTCACAGCATGCTACATGACCAGGTTCAGTCTTCATAGACCCCAGGTCTTCTTCCCTTCCTCTCACTGGAGGGGCAGTTCTGCATAACGCCAAACTATCACAGGGTGTGAGGAACTGCACTGGCAGAAATTAGTTCTTGGAAAATGCTCAGTCAATGGAGATGAGGCTTCATGTTCTACCAGCAATGTGACTTGTTAGAGGAGATGCAGCTTCTTCTGGTCCTTTTAACAGAAAGCTCACATGGAAGTAGTGGGGCTGACACATCTTCCCCCTTTCTGGTAAAAATCATGCCCATGTCTTCTACCTCACCTGCGGTCAGACAGACTCTTCCAGGCCACATTAATCTTGTGCTCTTTTCTGTCCTTTGGCAGGATCTCTAGGGAAAAGGCTGCTGCCAGCACTGGCCAGGTTTCTGGGAGTAGGTGGCCATGCTGTGCTACATGTTGACCTCAGAGCTCTATGTGTGTTGGAAGCAGGCTGTAATGGACTGCAGCTGTAGATGGACACCCTTATCTCTGGATCATGGTAGAGCATAAGCAAGAACGTGCCTTATATCTGAGGCCCTACTGTGGATGTGCAGGCACTTAGGGAGCTTTAAGACCATGAAAAGGCATAATAGAGGTGCCCACTAAATTTTAGATGCCTTAATGATAAGGCACTGCTGGGTAATAGCTTTCCTCATCACTTTTCTTGGACCTAAGTTTTGTCTACATTGCACTCATCTTGGATGCTCTCGATTTTTCTCAACAAATTGGAAGCAAATTTTTTTGGTATAACTGAGTTATATTTTGATACATTCAGCATAAGTATTTTAATGAAGTTTTGGAATTCTGTTTCCAGGATGAAGTTTGAAATTTTGATATATTTTCTTTTCAGTTCCTCCCTTTCCTTGGCAATCCCCTGCTAACATTAGATTAAAGTATTTGCCTTTCTGAATTGTAGCCTAAATGGTTACAGCTGTTGAATCATCCCAGACTAATCAGGATGAATTATGGTATCTGATATTTGAACAGACTTAGCTCTCTCTTTGCTTAGCTTTGTAAATCACTTTGCCTATGTCTATACAACCTTTGACACAAAACCATGCTCATAGCATGCTCCCTGACACAGCTGCCTCCCAGGCGGCTCATGGATGGCCCTTCTGGGCAAACCAGGTGGTGAGATCAAGGCTGTGGGATGCCACCTGTTGGGACGGTCTCCAAGATTGCCTGGGGCCACCCTTGCAGATTGGCTGCCTCTCCGTGGGAACTGCAAAGCTTGTGCTGTGGTCAGCCACAGGATGGTTCTCCAGGCTGTGCCCCATGGAATAGTGAGATCCAGTGACAGCAACCAAGACCACTCAAGAGTCCAGATCACCTGAAACATCCATAACGAGGAGGCAGGTTCATGGTCAAGCTGGGAAGTTGAGCCAGTTGGCAATGGTCAGCCTCAGGCACAGCTGCAAATGTCACTCAGGAAGAAATCAAGGGTGAAAGTCTGAGCTTAAAAGCAGCTCTCAAGGAAAGAAGGGTAGAAACTTGCTTCTCACAGCTCCTTCTCCATGGCTCTCTGGCTCAAGGCCGTATAGTTGTCTCAAAAGCTGGCCCTAAGAGTAGGCAGCCAGGCCCTAGCAAAGAGGAAGGGGCGAAAGAGAGTGCACCCAGGGCCCTGAGAAGCAATATAGCCTTGCCCTTGGAGATAGCTGGATATAAGATACTTGCAACATGGCTCTCCCATGCTAAAAACAGGTTTGCCAATATTTTGCACTGCACTTGGAAAATTCAGCACAGCATGTATATGCTAAACTTTCTTATTTTACATCATATTGCCTTTCAAAGCACAACTGGACCTGGCTTAAGACCACTTGGCTTTGTGAGTCATAAATCTGTATAGTACAGAACATACCCCAAGACTAACAAATAACTTTAATCAAGCTTTGAATACTTGCACATAACAAGTAATTGATACTTTCTACATGCTGCTAGATTCCCCTGAGAGTGATTCACAATTCTTACACCCTAAAAACACCCAGAAGTCCAAGTTTTCTCAGATGGATTGCATAAGTGCTGTGTTTCTCTTCTTTACCATATTTAACTATGGTAATGATATGGAAGATCTTGCATTTGAGGTAAAGGATCAAAACACTGGCTATTTGGGTGGCACTGATTGGACACACCTCAAGTATCTGCTGTGCAATTATTCCATCTTCCCTGCCTAAATGTTGAGTTTTGAACTCTGAGGTGCTGGGACTGCACTGCTACATTTTTCTTTTTATTTATAGGCTACATTGATATTGCTGGTGATATTCACACCAAAGAGTGCCTCCTGACCAAATGTGGTGGATTGGCCTGTTTCTGCATTGTTTAAGTCTTGGCCATTTGGAAGGATAGGTCCTGTTCTTGTGGTACAACAGCAATGTGCACTGTGCTACAAGTACAACCTCTTCCTCCCTTGTGCACAGACACCATTGGTCATGCTAATAACTATGACAATCTTCACTCCTCTCAGAAGGTATGAGGCCTGCTTCATGCGAGACTTGGAGAGAGACACGTACCAAGAAAAACAGAACTGGGATGGATGATGGTCACCCTGTCCATACCCCAGCGTGAACCGGACCCAGTCTGTGCTTAGATTTTTCAGCTGAAAGAACTGCTGACAAATACTAAAGCAGAGAATGAATGCAGACTATGCTGTATTCAGGGTGAATGTGGAGCTGGCATAGGGATGTTGATTAGTATTGCACAAAGTGGTTCCATAAGGTCCCTGACTTGCAGTGAGAGAGGGGCTCTGGCATACATGTACACTGAGTGTTTGTAAGGGGAAATCCAGTTCAAACAACGGTCAGCATATGCCTAGGGAAAAACAAGTAAATATGAGCATGCCCTGAGGACTTCCAGTGTTATACTATCACCAGACGAGAGATTTCCTGAATCAAATGGAGTTTCTACGTATTTAGTAACTTGCAATGGATTTTTCTTCCATGAACTGGTCTAGTGTCACCTCAAACCCATTTGTGTACAACATCCACTGCTGCCTATATTGCATGAGGAACCACACTCTCACATTTGTTTGCATCAGAATTCACATCTTATTTGACACCTTCCTGGTGTTGCACTGGAGAAAATAGTGAGCAGCTGATCCCTATTCACCTCTATGCCCCTTATGATTCTGTAAACTCTTCATATTTACCTTCAGTGGTCTCTTTTCCAGAATAAAGACGACTGGTTTACTAAGTCATTCTGTGTACCTTTAAATGATCTTCAAATGAGCTACCATTTAAAAATCTAATTTTTTTCAGTTCTGTTGTTTATAAGCAATTTATGGTTTCTCTGGATAATTAATCTTTCATGGATGTAGAGCCACCACCGTTAAAGGTCATCTCCTTGCGCTGACTCTACTTACACAGAAAAATATCCACAGCATTATCACTTCAGAGGAAATTGTTTATGATATCCTCTGAACTTAGTTGTAAACGGGGGTAATAAGAATCTTTTATCCCTATACCACAAAGATGTTCCTATTTCTATAAACTTGGAGGCTTCCTGTAATGCAGTACAATAATTTCACAGATTAATAGAGCATTCTCTTGTGTCTGGTTTGAAGCAACATACTAGTAAAAAAAGAGCATGTCTAAAACTCTTGGAAGGTACAGCTTGAGCTACAGCAAGCATAATCCAAGTGCCTGCACATGTTTGCTTGCGTTGTTTCTCTTGCAGAAATTGCAATAACCGTATCATGTACATGTGAGCATTCAAGAAGGTTTCAGAAATAGTGGTTCAAGTGCTGGTGGTTCAAGTGCTGCTGCCCATAAATGACATTACCTCCTTTGACTCATATTTACTGTCCTTGAGCCTTCTGTTCTGATATTTGCTCATTTGTAAATGTAAAGCCCCACTGTCAAAGATCTATAAGGATGATCTAAGTGATTTCCTTAACCTCAGTAGGCTAAAGGATGCATTTTGTATGATCAGACTGTATTTTTTATAAATGGTGTTTCTTTTTATTGCCATGTGAAGCTCTATTGATTTTGTCTCTTTAATGGTATGATATGTAAATCATCTTGTTGGTGCCAACATCCTAAGAAATAGGTATGTGAAAGATCTTTTGCAATTAATACTTCTTGCCCTTTGACCATTAAAAAAACAAAACAAACAAACAAAAAATCCTCCTGTAGCTATGATGTGATCTGTTTAACTCAACGGGGGGTTTCCAGGACTTGGGTGAATTTTAACCATCCATTTTGACATAAGTCAAGCTGTGCAAAGCAATGAAATTCTGATTGCCATGTGGTGAGACGACTGGATAGTGTTACAGTTCCCTCATTAAGAGGTACTGGAGTTAAGCAGGGGGAGTTGAACTTTCCTCTGTATTAAAATAACAAGTGTGGGAGACTAAGAGAGCAAACTGGAGTAAGGGAGTTCACCTTATAACAACAAAGACTTAACATGCAGTATATCAAGTCTCCTGAACTTTGTCCTGCTTGGTAGTTTATCAGACAACCAAGATGAATAAAATAGCAAAGGATGATTTAAAACTGTCCTGATTTCAATCTTCTGGCCTAATTTTCAGCTTCATTCTTTTTCTGTTCTGTCATTTCACTGCTGTGTGTTCCTGCCCCTCAAGAGATGTTCACAGTCTTAGAGTTCAAAACACATACAGATATCATTAGTAAAATAAAACACAGTGAAGATGGGTAAGATGTAAGGCAGGAATTTTGCTAACCTAATGATGATTTCCCCTTTTTCAGCACTGTATCCAATTTACACTAAAAAAGAAACTTCTCAAATAGTCTCCACTAATTCTTTTTGTAGACGTTACCAATACTTAACCACTGTTAAAACCCATGACAATATATCTGTGGCTTTTTGCAAACAGCATATAATTTTCAACCCACCAAGACATGAACAAACTTTATAATATGAACTGACAAATTTTATAGAAAGTCTGAATGAAAATTGGAAGAGTAACATTTCAGTTCACAAAGTTAACATCAGCATATTATGATTGTGGGGCGCTGGTTCCCGAAAAAGAAAAAGACACCACAACTCAGAAGACCAACGTTCAACCTTGCTGAATTACTTAGAAACGATCAGTCCCACAATAGTTTGCCCTGGAAAAAAACAAATGATTGCAGACTTGATGTTGAGGCAAAATCAAGACACTGAGAAACACTTCTGTCGATTACAGCTCCATGCAAGTTAGTCAAGGAAAATAATTATGCAGTAAGTGAGCAGTGGAACTGGTGAAACTTGGTTTCACAAGGAATTGTGTCCCAGGTTCTGTCTTACTCTCCTTGGGAATTGCAGCTCCGTCTCAAATCTCCTATTCTTTCTTTCCCATGTGCTCAGGCTCCGTTACAGCCATGCATGCACTGACTGGCTCCTCTATATGCATAGATTGATTAGATGTGTATATCTTCTTGGTTGAGCTGTAGCAGTCTTTTATATAGAGACATGATTAATTCAAGGTTTTATAAGTATTTTTGTGAGGATAGTAAAGTGCAGAGTGGGATACTGCAGTTTATGAAGAGAAAACATACACAGTGGTAGAGAAGGAAAAGCTTGAGCAAAGCACCAGTTTTCCCAGTCAGACCCTATGCCTTGCTAATGGGGCCTGCAACAGCAGCTGCAAGGGTCCTCTTCTCTTCTGCCATGCAATCTTGAACAACACACAGGGATTTCATATCTTCATGTCTAAAATGTGCCATGGAGTTAGAAGTCAGTTACAGAGGCATGATGAGCAGACTAGAGCACAATCTTAATCACATCTTCTCTTCCAAGAAAACAGAAACATTTTGCTCAGTGATACTCCCTCAATGCTTGGAATCACTGTTTCCTAAACAATTTATTCACTTGTGGGTTAGATAGGCTAATGTCTGGGCTAATAGCCAGAGTATAAAGGGGAAAAAAGCAGTCATGCACTTAATTTTTCCTTCCTAAATTATCTGCTTTTTGATTGTCTTGGTGTTTCATTGTGGCAATTGTATGGCTGTCCAAGTACTTAGCCCTGACATGCAATGTTTCTTAAGAATGTAAATTACTTGGATAAGGGACTTCATGCTTCTCTATGGCACCTAATACAATAGGGCATAAGAGTGGTTTTAACTTCTGGATACTACAGCAACATAAATATTTAACTGTTACTCTATTATCCTGTATGTTTGAAGTTTGGCCCATGTAGATCCTCTCAGCAGTCAGCAGGATCTGTAGTGAGGACACAAAATAATACGTTTCTCCAAAAGAAAAAGAAGGTATTCTCCATTGCCTTGGGTAACATCACCTGATAAATTCACTGCAGGCACTTCCAAACATATTGTGTGACTGGACTTATCTGTGGTGTAACTAGGAAAAACAGAGAAATTTTTAGCCTGTATGCTTGACCTAGTGAATTCTTACAACCTAACATAAGCCCCAATTCAGCAAGGTACTTAAGCACATACCTAAATACCCACATGAATAAAGTCAGCCACACTTTTAAGTGTCTTGTTGAATCTGGGCCATTACAGAAGCTGAACACATCAAGCAACTACCCACATCAAGTTCCAGTAAAAGAAAATTGATTTCCAGAGTGTATTCCCTCTGGCTGTTAACACTGAAGAAGAGTGAGTGATAAAATTTCTGCTGCTTCTTCTTCTTGGATAAAGGCTGTGAATGTACTTGCTTTCACTGAAATATTTTCTCTCTGGCATTAAAAATGATTTGCGAATTTTGGGAACTAGACCAGATAATGTGAAATAAAGATCCATGGGTTTTGGTACTATTTAGTCCCTTAACCTTTTATAATATCAGAAATAGTCAAATAGGAAGATCTTAATAAATATATTAAATAATGAAAGAGATGAAAGTTAGTAACAGGAAAGCCTGTTGGATCTGGTTGAACTTTGTGGCATGTCTGTTCTTTAAGTGGTTTTGCAGTCTGTGGACTAGTCCTACTTTTATATGTGGAGCCTACAGCTTCAGGAGTGAGGAGACACTGCTCTGGAATATAATGGTCAGTTAGCCAGTGACTGGTCAGTATTTTGATGTGTGTTTTGTTGCCATTTTGAAAAACATCAGTGCATTACAATTGCCTAAGTTATCGCTTACAGATGCTTCATGGATGCAATACAGAAGACTCTATCTGTAGATCAACAATTTATCATACATTCAGAGATAAGTGGAAATTTGGACCACAGCCTTTTAAATTTTTTTAAGGTGACTAAACTTCTCCCTTAAAGTACATTGAGTGCTATCTTGGGATTTATACTAGCCCTATTGTTCCAGGGCATGAACACAGCAAAACCACTGCCTTTAATGAAATGATTATTTGCAGTGCATTATAAAAGAGTCTGATTATGTGAAAATGTTAATTCAGAATGCCCTCTAACTGGAATCTATGATCAAACACTATTGCAGTGTATATGATTAGATAGATCATCACTTTACTACTACTACACATAGGTACAAAAAAATACTTTGACTACTAGCCATGAAGGAGTCAGAATGAATCCTCAGAACATTAAGTCTTCTGGATATTGTTGCTGAGAGAAAACATCAGGCTTATTTTAAAATTATATTTTTTCTGACTCAGTTTAGTGTGATCTGCATTCACCTGCCCATCTTTAAAAGTGTCTCCAGGTAAACCTGCTACTAGATCAGAAAATAGAGCTATTCTAACGTTGTATGGATCTCAGAGAAATCTTGCTATTCAGCTGTGTAGACAAATGCTTGGTTACAGGAATGCAGCAGCACTATCATTGCTGGTTTATCTGCATTGTGATAGTGCCTATGGACTGGGGAATCATTATACTCTGTTCTAGCCAAATACAGTAACATGGCAGTCCCTTCCCAAAAGGGCTTAATCATCCATTTAAAGCAATGATTTAATCAGTGTGTTGAAAGCAGTGATGATAGTAAAAGAAAAACCAGCCTGCATGGTTTCTTATTATATGCCATTTTTATATATAACGCAGACATAAAAAGCTAAGAGATATTAATGACTCTTTGAATGGGATGATAGCTGGGTAACTTCAGGGCTTTGATAAGAAAGTGACCTTGTGGATTATGTATAGCTGTAAATGACTGCCTGAGAGAGAGGGTGAAATGATTTGGACTATAAAAATTGCAGAAAACACTTATTTTCCACACTTCTTCAGCAGAAGTTCTCTTGCTTGGATCTACTTGGGTTTCTCTAGAGTGGCCCAAGCTATATCTATGCCTTCATACTCACATCTATGAACAAAGTCACTCTTAAGTTACTCTTTTATCAAAATTTTCAGTACAGCAATTTTTTATGTAGGGCATAGTCAATCCCCTCAGACACCTAAGGGACCAGAAGTATCTCCGCACTGGCAGCCAAGACAGACCTCATTCCTTACTTCCCTGGTCTTAAATCAGACCTGAAGGGCTTCGTTTTGTATCTCCTTACTGACTTACTGGTCTAGGGAGACCATTCCTCTGAGGGACTTTGTTTCTGTGTTGAGCACTAGTAGCTATCATTGACTTTGAGAAACAGCAGCTTGAAAAACTGGACTACTGTGAGGCTGAGCAACGACTTTGATCTCAGCTTGTCAAGTCATGTTCATCTGTCTTATTATGAAACCTGAGCACATAACTTAGTTTCCCATTTTACAGTTATGCAATGTTTTCTTAAGACCATTATTTGAACCTTCCTCTGAGTTGTGAATTAAAAGGTAATGCAAAGGTAAGATCCATTTCACAATTCCCAATGAACGGGAAGATTTCTGGACATGAAAGGAACTGGCCTCACATTTTTTGGCTGGGGACTCCTGAAACCAGATGGTATAGATTTTGTACCTAAGCTTATTCAGCGTTTACTGCTGGCTGCTATATTAGTCCTGGCAGCTGCTTGAAAACCTCCTATCCCCCTGAAAATTAACACCTGGTTTCAGAAATACTGAAGTACAAGTGATGGAAAAACTATCTAGCTCCATAAGAGGAAAATTCATGCATTATTAAATGGAAACTTGTTATCCAGAAGTAACTCCTCTTCTAGAAGCTGCAAAAGGTAAATCTACTGAAAAAGGTAATCTTGTCTCATGGAAACAATTTCTAAAAATTTAACAAATTTAAAGTGTCTGTAAGCATATTCACATAAATAAATATTACTATGCATGGTTTAAATATCTGGAAACTAAACATGAACTTAAACAGTGTTATCAGACTTGGACATCTGTCTCCACAGACCTTAAGTAGTACTTCAAAGTTTTCAATCTTGATTAACTCTTATACAACGTTTGTTATTAAGTATGTCTGCAGGTGTTCAGATTTAGGGTAACACTTGGGTCTTAATATCTTAGAGTCTGCAAAGTGAGGATCATGATTTCTGTATCAACTTGATTGTAGTTTTGTGATGTCTAGATACTTGTTTGTAAAGGTCTGATAAGTGTGAAAGCCATCAATGTATGTGTGTAGGGAAAAAAAAAGGGCTTAGATCTTACAAAAGGATTGAAGCGCCTTCTATTTTGCTTATTTCAGGAGGAATTAAGAACCATTCTGGTAATTTTTAAAAAAATATAATCTTAGATCAGAATTAATCCACCTCAATCTTAGAAAATAGATTTTAAGTATGTGAATGTTGAAGGTCTCTTTTTGAAATCCTGTTTCCTTAAAATCTGAATATCCTCCTACGCCTGCTCAAGCAGTGCCGCACACACCTCAAGGCAGCCCTGACAAACTGTCAAGTGCAATGAATGCCAAGCCCATGGAGCTCATGCCTCGGAGACTGCAAAGATTTACAGGTTCCTGCCCATGGGGTGTTGTTCCTTTTATATACTCCAACATTTTTTCAGCTGAACCTGCAGTTAGGGGGAATACGAGGAGAGTTAAGGTGTTATTGCTGCCTTGAGGGTGTGGGAAATTCTCCTTTTGTCCTTCTCCTTTCCACTTTTTGTCTCCTGCCCATGATCAACTCTCTGCACCTCAGACTGTCTCTAAAGATTTTGACAGTGCAGTATGCACTTCTGCCACCTTTTTAGGTAGGTAATAGAAGACTTATATTTTTTGGCTCTCCACACCGCTTCTTTTGAGCACATGGGCACGCACATGTCAGGCAGTGACTTAAATTTACAGAACTTTACACAACTCGATTTTGAACTAAGCACCTATTTTTGACTGCTAATATATGTCATTCAGTTAAGACCTCAGAGAGCTTAACCACCACCATTAAATTTACACTGTCTTTAGTTTGCAAAGTTTAATGTGGTCGAAATCATGTTTAAAACACACTTTAGCACTACAAATCAAACTTTTAGATAACCTGATAGGAAAAACACATGCTTTTTCTTAATAGCTGCAATTGCTCTTCCAGCTGTGCAATATGTCCAAGTACTGATACAGGGGTTGGTGTTTGGCTCTGCATCTGCTCACAGAAGACATACACATTCCTGAGTTGCATTTGAGCACACTGTTTTACCAAAATGGACTTGAGCTGCACATGAAAGCAACAGAGAAGGTAGAGAGTGGTACAGTTTTGTAGCACGTATTTGCAAGAATGCCTCTCCAGCACTCTTGTCCTTGCACTCCACTGTGAACTATGTTTTCTATTTTGGCTTTGACATGTGAATGAGTGCTAGTGCTCAGTCCATGTTTTCCTTGCCAGATATTTTACTGATCTCTGGAGTAAGTGGACAACTACTCATGCAGCTATTGAGGATTCTTTTTTAAGCATTTCTGTTGTGCTTCATTTGGCAGTCAGTGGGAGAAGACATCTTGTAAAAGACAAGCTGTCTTTATTTAACATATTACATAGTGAAGATATTGATTTACAAAGATAATAGATGCTGAGGTTGCATCTAATCCTCCAGAATTCAGAAAAGATTCTGATTCTTTTGCAGACTGTAGCTTTTATTTGAGTAACAAGAACGACTGGTTGCATTTCAAACATGAACTTTATTAACAAGAAATGCAATACATGAATGTGTATTAAACTTATATCTCACTAACTTCTGACCATATTGCTTTATAGAACTGTATGACCTGAAAAGGTCCAAGTCTCTGAGACACAAATTAGATCTCACAGGCATTTTATGTCTTAAGCTATATTTGTATCTTTGTTTGCATCTAAGAGGAAAAACTATTGCAAGTGATTGGAAACCACCTGACAAAATCTATTCATGTATTTCCTGATGGGAGGAAGAATTAACCAGGGAGTGGAAAGGTTAGCCACCAGCACTTAGTATCCTTAGTATCCTCATTGTATTTTGTATAGGGTGAGAACTAATTTTCAGATTCTTATTAAACTTTAAAGATTTGAGGAATATTTGGGATCACATGATGCTCTTCATGTATTGAAAAACGTATTAAAATATTAACATTTTATTTAGATTTGGAAAAGGATCTAT